GAATGTAATGCACAAGTTAAGTAATTCCAGGGGTCTTATAGTGGCTAGCTCTCTTCTATTGATACAAACTTTCCTTGAGATTTCTCAATCCTCCAATGAACATATCAATTAATAGGTCTTATAGTGGCTAGATCGAAAGAACAGCAAGAACACATCAATAGCAAAATGTTATAACACCGTCTCCTGTGTGCCTCAACAGATAAGTAACCAACCAGCTCGAAAAAACAGCAAGTAATAGAATGCTGGAATCAAATATGCAGATGCACTCCAAAAATACCACACTACGAAGAGCATATCACTCTCCACAAAAGCAATTGCACTCTCCAAAAACGTCAAAGCAGATACAGCAGAAGCCGAACCAAACAGGGGAATTCGAAATGTATGTTCACTGTCAAAGTAAGGAATGGGGAAAACGAAAATAGGAGATGTAAGAATCAAAAACACAACTTCCTGATCGCTAGCAAGAGAAGAAGGGAATGATCAATCCCCCTCCTAACCGAACTCAACATCATTTGGAGGAAGAAGAGCAAGGTATCATGACATTCACAAGCCAACTCCACATCAATTCGACAGCTCATATGCACTGTCATGTATGCACTTCACACAACTAATTGCATTAACAACTACCACTACACATGAATCAACCACCACAACCACAACCTCCGACCAACCTTGAGCCGTCAGCCACCAAACAAGAATGCGTCAAAGGAGAAGGTAAAGAGAAGGCATAACCCTAGTGATGAACGAAAGGGGTAAAGAACATCACAGTCGTCTTTTCCATGTGTTGAAGAAAAAATCGCCGAAGTAGGAAGGATAGGAGTAGAGAGAACATCACACTCGAAAAAATCGTAAAGAACCCTCAAATCTGCGATTACAAGAAGAAAAATGCTCGTTATACCTCAGATCTGTCGATCGCGGGGCAACGAAGCAAGAGGACGAAGGAGAGCCGCAAGGGAACTCGTTAGGGCTGCAGAGAAACGAAAGGGGTAAGCGGGACAATGGGTAAAGGAAAGCGGTGACCGCGGCCTAATATCGCGGCCGCGGTTCGATCCGCTTCGCCAAAAATTTGCCGCGAAACGCCGAACCAAACGCCGGAATGCGGGACGAAGCCGCGGTCGCACGCCGCGCCGCGCAGCAGAAGCCGAACCAAACAGCGCCTAAGAATCCAAAATGAAATCAAGAGCTATGATGGTCTCATTATATGATCAACATCAATTGGTTATCATGTAATAAGGGCTAAGAGAGCATCATCACCATACGTGAATAAAAAATACCTTAATGTAAAAATTATTTGAATTGTAATGATAATTAAAAGTTAAAATTAAAATTTTAAATTTTAAATTTCAACCTTTAATTCTTCATCTATATTATAAGCTTTTAATTTTTTTCCCTTATATTTAATTTGTCTTTTTCTGCTTTGGAGGCCATTAAGGCTGGCCACTCTTCTTGGATATGAAATTAGAGTTATTGCAAGTAACTTCTCTATTTGCCTCGCTTCTAATTTTCTCTATTTTTTGTAATTTCTTTTTTAATTTTAAAAATTACTTTCTATTGTAATAGTTTAAACATTTGCTTGAATAAATGAAGAAAGTTTTGTGTTTTGACAAAAAAATTAGAGTAAAAACCCTAAGCTTGAGAACTTTGTGGTGGCTAACCCTAGATTTTTGTGTTTTTCTTGTTGGAAGCCATAGGTGGCCCTTTGCTATATGTTGAACTATTGTTTAACCTCTCTAATCTTTTTTCTGCTCCTTGCATCGTTCTATATGTTTTATCCACACCTTACAACAATAGGAAAATTCCCCAAACCAATTTATGAAAATCTTTGACCTAGTTTTGTCTTCTAGATTCTCACCAAAAACTCTAAATCCATACATCCGTTTAATACTTTCAAAACTTCTCAATCTCTTTTTACCCCATTAGTAGGGGTGTCAATTTAGATTGACGGGTGGTTTGAATTCGGGTCAATATTCACATTAACGCAACTTGAATATGTTATCAACCCATTTATTATATGGGTCAAAATATTTGACCTATAGCTAATTCGGCCCGAATCCATTTTAACTGAACCTAGTCTCTCTAACTTGTTTATTATGTAGATCATACAAGTTTTTATATGAACACAAGCCAAATATCCCTAAGATGATTCGTTGAATCCAATTAGCTCCATTTGAACTTGACTTATTTAAAGTTGAATGGCAATTAAATCATAGTAGGATTGGTTTTCAATCACTAAGGTCAAATCAAACATGACACAAATAATTATCTAATCAAATTCTTTATCTTGAATTCGGTCAAAAAAAAAAAAATTAAAACCTGATAAACCTGAAACCAAATTTTTGGAGTTGGGCTTTCATGTTTGGTTATTTATTTAAACCTCTAACTTGTAGGACTTTCCTCTAACTCATTAGCTCAAAACTTGTCAACATTAACTTAAATTAGACATTTTGAATTAAGCTTGGTCTTGCTTCAACTATACCTCTTGAATTTTCACAAAACTACAGAGCACACCTATTAACATGCCCCTAATACTTCCATGCGGATATATGCCTTTAATTCTCCTTTACGTCACAACCTTAATTTGAAATGCAAGTGGATAATCTAAGGACTTAGCTTACCACCAAAGTTTAGTTGACATCTTTTTTAGCCCTCCACTTCTAGCGGCCTTCTTCATACAACTCAAAGGCTATTCTTACATTGAATACCCTCCTACTGCAATTGCAAGCCTTAGATCAAACCTTCCAAGACTAGGCCATTTGATTTGAGCAACCACTAAGTTATTATTAGGTACAAATTCTCATATTCTTTTATTTAAATCAAAGAAGATGAGTTCTTATTTTTGGTTCTTTTTGGTGGTAACTCTAGGTAGACCTTTACTATTTGTTGACCTGTTAACTCTAGTTAGACCTTTACTATTTGTTGCCCTGTTCCTCAATTTCTCCTAGTTTTTCTTGCACTCCTAGCATCATTCTAAAGGTTTTCTCCATGCCTTACAGTATTAGAAAATTCTCCAAACTGAAATAGGAAACATTTGACCTAATTGTCTTCCAGATTCCCACCAAAAACTCTAAATCTAATTTTTATACGTCTCTTTGATACTTTCAAAACTTTCCAATCTATTTTTACACCATTATTAGGGGTGTAAATTTAGGTTGATGGGTGGTTTGGATTTGGGTAAGACCAAAAATTATCCCAAACCAATATTGTTTTGACCCAAACTCGACTTAGTTATTATATGGGTCAAAATATTTGAACTAGACCCGACTCTATCTGACACGGACCCATTAAGCCGAACCTAATCTATCTAACCTATTTATTATGTAGATCATACAATTTCTTAGATAAATAACCCTAAGATTATTAGTTTAACTATACTTGGACTTGTCCAAATTTAAGCTGGAATCATATTAGGGTTGATCTTGGGTTATTGGTCAAACCAAACATGACACGAATAATACTTTAATCAAATGTTTTGGCCTAAATCTGATCGAAATAGTAATCGGTAAACCTGAATCAAGATTTTTCGAGTTGGGTTGTCGTGTTTGGTTTTTTTTGAAACTTATAACCAGTATAACATCTCTCTTACTCATTAAAAATTTGACTTAAACTTGGTCTTGCTTCCTAAACCTTTTGGATTCTTACAAAAACATATAAACATTCCCCTAATACTTCCATGTGGATCTATACCTTAAACCCCCCTTTATGCCATAATCTTGTGAAACCCGAATGAGTAGCCTCAGGGCTTAGCCTACCAACAAAGTTTTGTCAACCTATCATTTAGCCCTCCACTTGTAGTGACCTTCTCCAAACAACTCAAAGGCTATTTTACATTGAAAAACCTCATATAGCAAGTGCAAGTGCAAGTGCAAGTGCAAGCCTTAGATCAAGTCTTCCAAGACCAGGCCACTTTGATTTGAGCTACCATTAAATTATTATTATTAGGCACAAATCTCTCAAATCCTCTAATTTAAATCAAATAAAACGAGTTCTTATTTTGACTGGTGGTCTTTGAAACAAAAAAATTTAAATCCCGTTTGTATGAATTTTATTCAGTTTGTCATCCTGTTGCATTAGAAATCTGATACCCTAAGACATCCTGCATCACTGTTTTCGATACTCATACAACATATTCTGATTTTGCCTGGATATAATTTATTTTACAGACGTGAGTGAGAATTCTTGTATTTTGCGTCAGTTCTGTGGTATGATAGAGACAAATGATTGAAAAATTATTGCCTGTAGGTCTATACCAAGCCTATTCTTTATCATGCTATAAGAGGAGCTTTTGGCGTTTCATATATGTCAATCTTTTTCTTAGTCATCGCTGATACTATTTTACTTCTTTAGGGGTTTCTCCTCATATTTTTTATAAGAGCGATAATTTCTTGACACATTATCACTTTTCAAATGAAATTATTTTTATTATGTAGTCCAAAAGACTGGACATATGCGGAGGCAGAGCTGAAAAGACAGCTGGGAAGCAATTTTTTAATCTATGGTATGGCATGTGTATTATTTCACTTAAATTTTTTTCTCGAATATTTATAAATGCATTATCTGCTTTCACTTGAATTTGCTATTTATAGCGCAGTAACATTTCACTAGTTCATCATTATAATTGATTCCTAATGTTCAGTGTCATTTCTTAATATCTTTGGTATTATTGTTCAGTTAGTTCTTCAAATACCTATATTAAAACCTTTGCTGGAATCGACGGAGCTGGAAGACGATTGGCAGATGAAGTAAGCAGTCAAATATATATACTTTATTCCCTAAAAGCTACATTTTTTATGGGCTAAATATTTATTAAGCCTAATGTCGTATTTAACTATATCATATAGGTTCTCAATGTAGTGCAGAAAACAGAAAGTTTGAGAAAGATCTCCTTTTTGGCCCACTCACTGGGCGGATTGTTTACAAGATATGCAGTTTCAGTTCTATATTCCTCTGATAATCTGAATAACAGTCAGCACAATAATATTGTCGAGTCAAGTGATGGAAATCCAAATAAATTAGCTCGTATCTCCAAGGCAGGTAAAATTGCGGGACTGGAGCCGATCAATTTTATTACTTTGGCAACTCCACATCTTGGGGTTAGAGGGAGAAAACAGGTGCTTTCTACGGAAGTAGCTATAAGGCAAATCTAATCAATCCATTTTATCTCTCTGTCATCCATATTAAATAAAATGCTTTCCTTGTCATGTTTATGTTTATGAAGCAAAAAGATTGACACCTACATTATAAAGAAATAGATTGATAGGTACAGTTTATGTTTTATTTTCAGCTTCCGTTTCTCCTGGGAGTTCCATTTTTGGAAAAATTGGCCGCACCTTTAGCCCCCATGTTTACTGGCCGTACCGGTAGCCAGCTGTTTCTTACTGATGGCGAACCCAAAAACCCTCCTCTTCTTTTAAGAATGACAACAGACAACAAAGATCTTAAGTTTCTGTGGGTTTGAATGCAAACAATTGTCTTTTGATGAATTTATGCATACTATGATATATCAATGAACTCGGTACTTGTTTCTTTTTCTTTTCTTTTTTTTTAACTATTGCAGATCCTCACTTGGGGCTTTCAAAAACCGAATTCTCTATGCCAATGTTTCTTATGACCGTATCCTCATGCATTAATCATATATTTTTTTGGCCGCTTATTCATATTTTTTATTTGATTAAATGAAGCTTCATTTTGCTTTGTTCATCAATCTCTAGTTTTTTTGAGCTTTATATAGACATGGTGGGTTGGCGTACTTCTTCAATACGGAGGGAGACTGAGCTTGTTAGGGTATGTCATCCAAGTTTATTCTTCTGGTTCGGTTTAATTTTTCTTTGATCTATCAATTGAATTTCTTTGACGTTTGATCGTAAGTGCCAAGCAGGACTTCTATTTGTACTCGACAATAATATTCTGGGCATAATCCATACTTGCTTTGTGAAAGGATGAACCATGCCTTCTTCTATGAAAGAAAAGATGCCTTGTTAGGTTTTTTGTCATAATTTTGAAGCTTCTTTTCAAGAAGTTTATGCTATTTCGACTACCATGTAATGTATCCTTCTTAATTTTATCACCTCAATCTTGAAACTCTTTTGCAAACACCAACATGTCTATTTGTGACTTCTTTGTTGCCTAACAGTCAAAGTCCATACAACTTAACTAGTCTCTTACAAATTATTTTTAAGTTACCATGCTTTTCTCTTATGGCATGACACTTTTGAGTTTCATTCAAAACCATCTACTTTTAACTTTTAAAGCCATGTTCTCGTCAAAATTTGTACTTTTTTGTATAATGGATAAAAGATGCATTAAATGTATCAAGTTGGGTATTCTTAACCTTCTTAGAATATTGATTTAAAATATTATCAATTTTACGTTATTTAAAATTGAATATCATCTATTTAATCTAATTAAAGCCCCTTATTTTCTTAAAATTTCTTCAACTATTCTACTTTTTCACATTCTTGAAAAATCTCAGATATTAAAGCCATATCAGTTGAATGTCATGCATCGAAATATCTCAATTTGAATATCTTTTTAGGCAGCTTGATAAATAATATCTAGAGACAATTAATATGGATTTATAGATATCTTGTTGAATGATATGGGTAGCTATGAAAATATATAGATGTTGGTCATTAATGATGATGGCATTATTGGCGTTGGTGAGTGAGATTTAATGTTTGAATTGGGTTAAGTTGGAACTACTAATTATTCAAACCCGTTATTTAATATGTCCAGTGGTAATTTTATACTTGTTTGAGGGATGAATTCAGTTCCTAATGCTAATTTTATCAGGCATTTATTTGCCTTGGCATATTGAGACTGTAGTTAAGTAGTGGTATCTTTGAATGATGTGCAATAATGTGGAAAGCATTTGCTTTATGAATGCCACATACACAGTATTATTTGGGGTTGGTTTGAATTTTCAAGCCAGTCTTCTCGATCATGCATGTTCTTAATATGACGACAAAATTTCGATTGATTTCTTCATCATAGATGCTTTCAAGCTGTTAGATCAGGGAAACTTGAAATAGTTCAGACTTTAAAGAAAGGTCTTCAATCTATGAGGTAATGACATCTAATTTTTAATTCATTGCATGCAGCCGCCAAGACAATCATTGGATGGCTACAAACACATCGTAAATGTGAAGTATTGCCCCCCAGTCTCATCAGATGGCCCACATTTTCCTCCTGAAGCAGCTAAGGCTAAAGAGGCTGCCAAAAATGTGCCAAACTCACAAAATACAGCAGAATATCACGATGTCATGGAAGGTAAATGGTGATGAGAAAAATAGATATATTTTTAATATTATTTTAATTTTTTTTATGAGCAAAGCTTTTAACTTGTATCAGAGGAAATGATTAGTGGACTTCAAAGGATAGGATGGATGAAAGTTGATGTCAGTTTCCACTCTACGTGTTGGCCCTTCTTCGCTCATAATAACATCCATGTATGATGAATATTTCTGCTTGATTGTGAGATTGGAGATTTTGTTTGTTTATGATTCTTGCTTCTGTGATATATAGGTGAAGAGTGAATGGCTTCACAATGCTGGCACTGGTGTTATTGCTCATGTTGCTGACAGTTTAAAGCAGCATTAGGACGATGATTATAGAGTAAGTTGAATGGTTTTGAATTTTGAATTTTCTGCATTTCTTTGTTTTATAAAATAAAATTAGCATGGAGGTCAATTCATTCTTCCTTTTATATTTCTATTTATTTATTTTTACTTGTGAAAAATGCTGTTCCACAAAGCAGTTTTTACTTTTTACCTGGCTCAGTCGTTTTAATGAATATTATTGTTATAGCACTGAGGAAAATATTGATAATATTAAATAATTATGGTCTAAATTTGGGCGGGGTATGAAAATAAAAGGTTATCTGAAATAATCTTATTATGAGCTCATTAGCGCCTATTGGTAAACCTGGTTGGCTGCTGTAGTCTGACCTATTTACCCTGCTCATTGTGAATTTGTAAACAGCAATGCTTTTTCCCTGGAGATTGCTACATATTAAATCAAGTTGCAGTGAGTCGGCTCAAACTCAAAATTCAAGATCTAATGTTTAATTTGAGCTAAATTTGTCAAAACAAAGGTGATCAATTTTGAGTTGATTTTCATGCTAGTTTGAGTTGAGTTTGTTAATTTAATAAAATTTTCTTTATAAATATAAATTATATATATATATATATATAAACATGTATATGTACTATAAAGTAATGGATAATTTGCATCTTAACTAGGTTATTCATTGCATGGAACGAAGATTTTGCAGGCGAAATCACCATTTTATGTTGTCATACACTCCAACTAATTTGTGTTGCTGATTTTAACTTGAAAGGCATTTTTAATTTATAAAATCATCGACACGGGTTCACTTGAGGAGGCTGGGCAAACCGGCCTCGCTGGGGCCAGTCCAACCTTCTTGCTAGACCAGCCGGCTCTCTTAGGGAGGCTAGAATTGCCACCCTCCTCTTCCTTTTCCCTCCAATTATTTCTTTCATTTTCCCATTAATCTCCTATTATAAGTCATTGCCTATTTCTAGATCTTCTATTTTTAATTTCTTTCTTATTTTACAGAATTGCCTAATATATGTCATATATATATATATATATATATATATATGCGGTCTTTTGTTTAGGGAAGGTAGTTTTTGGTGATTATTCTAAGTTCAAATTTCTGTGTAGAGTGTTTTCCCTGTTACAGGGCTGTATCTGAGGAGGTGGTGGTACTCCGGTTGTATCCTACTACAAGGTGGTGTTGTATCTTCCTCGTTTTTCTTATCCAGCCCTCCCTCCACCCTCCTTCTCAGCCGCTAGCCTCCCATCATTGCCCATACGTCCCTACCGCCACCCATACAACACACCAGCCCGTCGTCCGACCATTTCCAATGTTGTTCGGTCATCCCCGCTTGCTTTCCGACCAGTCATCCAGCCTTCCCACTTGCCGTCCTTCTTCCCACCAGCTGTCCACCCTTCCCACTTTTTGTCCCACCTCCCCAAACTATTGTTTCGTCTCCCCAAACTTGCTATCCAACACGCTTGACCTGCCCTCCATTCTGCCTACCACTCTAGCAGGCCACCACCTTGCTGCTATCCAGCAGGACTCCTTTTTCCGCGGCCGTCCTGCACGTTGACCACCTTCCAGCAAGACTCCCCTCCAGGCTAATCCTAGCTACCATCCTATTCTACAGCAGCTTCCTTTCCACCCTCTGGATCTATCGCCTCCTCTAGAGGGGCCCGTTTATGTCTTTTATGTTGTCCTTTCTCTTCTTTTGCAGTCTTCATTGTTGCTTATTATTTGCATTTTCTTGTGTTGTTTCTGTTGAAGAGTCGTTTTTGTACTTTCTTTGAAATTCAACAATAATATTTGTCATATGGTCGTGGTTTGGGTTAACTCGGTATTAATTATTTTTTGTATTAATGAAAAATAAGTTTAGGAGTGAGATATTCCATGTCTTTAATTTTAGATCTACTCAAACAAAGTTCTTAGACCTTGAAGTTGACCTTCATAATTCAAGTATTTCCTGAGCGCTCTCTCTCTCTCTAGTCTTATGCATGAGGAGGATATCAACTGCGAAAAGCATTCACCAAGATACATCATCCTGTAAATGTATAGTGAGAATATCCATAACTAAAACAAAAAGAAATGAGCTTAAAGCCTATCTCTGATGTAATCCAACTAAAATGAGAAAATATTTGGTCAATCCTCCTTATGTTCAAAGACAAGTAACAACTCTAATATACACATCTTTAATAACTTGAATACAAGCAATATCAACACCTATCTTTTCTAAAACTCTCCAAAGCACTTCTTTTGGAACCTTATTATAAGTTTTTTCTAAATCAACAAAAAATATCTTTAGATACTCCTCACTCTCTCTGTATTTTCTATTAAACCGTTTAGTAAATGTATAAATTTCGTAGTAAACTTGCCCGATTTGAATCCAAACTGATTTTGAGTAACTTTTGTATCATGTCATAATCTATGTTGAATTACTCTCCCATAATTGCACATTAACTTAATTACTCTCTTATTTGCACACGCTTATGCATCCTCTTTATTCTTAAAATAAAGAACCAATAGACTATGTCTCTACTCATCAAACTTCTTTTTCGTTTTTAAAATAATATTAAAAAAGTTTAGTAAGCTATGAAGTTCTCATATCTTCTATACATTTTCACACTTCAATTGGAATACTATCAGGTCATAGTAATTTTTACAATTCATCTGCTTAAAGCCTCCTCAATTTTTTTTACTAATCAGACGCCAAAAAAAAAAAAAAAAATTATTATTTTTTATCACTAAAGTTGATTATATTTTTTAGATTCTTCATTGAAAAATTTATCAAAATATTTCACCACCTATGTTAAATACTTTATCTAAGAAAATTACTTTTTGATTTAATTCTTAATACACTTTACTTAAATTAAATCTTTATTTTTTTGTCTTTGTTCGACTATTTTTTACATATATCTTTGATAGTCTTTACTATTTAATGTGTTATAAAGATCATTAAAAGCAGAATTCATAGCATTACAAATTATTCTTTTTAATTCCCTATGAGCCACCTTATGTATGTATATTTTCAATTCTCCAAGCTTTTACATTTAAACTAATTTTACAAATAAATTTTTTATTATTAATATTTTCTTGCACATTACCATTTCACCGCCAATTTTTTTTATTCATAAGAGTTTTTTTGTTTTGATATTCTTAGTACATCTTTTGCAACTTACTTAATGGTATCTGTTAGTTTATCTCACAAAGTATTAATTTTTTCATAAACATCCCAATGCAATTCTTAAGATCTTGAAGTTTTCTCATAAAAATAATTTTATTTATCATTCAAGTGCCCAATCTAATTCAATGATAATATTTCATTATATTTATCATTTCAACCTTTCATCTTAACATCCAAAATTAATAATCGTTGTTAGGTATTTAAATTTTAACTTGGAATGACTATAAAATATTTACAATCTTGACGATTTATTTTTTCAATAACAAAATAATCAATTTATATTTTATTGGATATATTCTTATAAATGATATCATGTTAATCTCTTTTATTAAATAAAATATTAATAAAATCAGAAACTAAAACAAAATTGAATATGACTCTACCTTCTTTGTTAGTCAATCCAAAATCATAGTCACAATGAGTACTTTTAAAATCTTTTACGACTCTATTAGCATGTTCATTTAATTGTGCTCCAATAAAAAAATTTTCTTCAAGATATTATATTTATATTAATTTTTTTAAGGTATTCTAGAACTTTTATTTTCTTCTTCTAATATATACTAATTGATGAATCTGGTTGGTTATAGGAAGCTCATACAAGTTTGTTGATGGAAGAGATTATTTGATCCCCATGGATGCTTTTTGCAGAAAGGGCAGAGGTTCCTCGTGTACATTCATACAATAAAGATCAAGCTAATGGCATTGTATAGATATATTGTTGTTTATGTAAGTCTAGTGTCATCATCCAGTAGCATGAGCTGAAAATATATTTCCTGTTTTCTTCCTTTGGATTATGTCTGGCAATTTGTAATATCAACTGTGCATATTTGATGCACTAATATATTGTGTAAATTCGGATTCAACCAAAAATTAACCTACCTTCAATAATCCACCTGTAGTTGATTCATTTAGTAAAAAGTTTATAATTGTCAGTTTGAATTCAACTTTGACTAAATCTGAGCCTGATACGTTTCGTCATGTTAGTGTTGGTCTAATGTGCTTGAATGTGTAAAACATTGTTTGAAAATAAAGTGAAAAATTTTAACTATGTGTGTGTGTGTGTGTATTGGGTTGCCATTATTATTATTATTGGCCATGTGATGTACTAAACTGACCTGAAGTTTATTGGTTGACTTTAAGTTGAATTTTAATATTGAGTCAATCTCCCTGACCCGCTCTTTTTTTTTTTTTTTTTTTTTTTTTTTTGGTTGAAGGGTGGAGTCACCCCCAATTTAGGCTGTCACGTGTACACAGGAAGACCCTCGATTTAATACATGGGTGGGTCTGTCTGTAAACGGGACAGACCCTGATTGAAGTCATGATGTAAAACTGCATTAGGACTCGTGATACAAAAATTTTTCCTATTTGGGGGTAATATTGGTGTTCATATCATAATCTTATTTATATCATTTTATCTCATAAAATTTTATTAATGTTTATATAGTACTACTCAGTTACTTTTTGTGTTACAATGTTAGAATGTTATAGGATGATGAGGAGAAGAAATATCACTTTTATTTTCATAAAAATTAACTAAAATTTATTCAATGTACAGCTCCAGTTACCATGCCATAGCAGGTGCCAAAAGCATAGCATAAAATAAAGGCGGATATCCTTGCGAGTTTGAACGAACATTATGCATTTTGAGCCTTTCAGTACAGTATAAAGAACTATATTTGATGCACTCCCCTTATGGATAAGAAAACATATTATATTCAAGATCCAATTGCATATATTAAATCCACTAACTTCTTCTGTGGTCGCAGTACTAAAGCTAGCTAAACAGCTTTAGTTGCTGAGTACTACATGAATATGGAAAGCTTGCCAATTCCTGCCATGTTTTTATGAAAA